CGGATACAATCAAATGATGGCAGATCGAATGGGTAGCTAGATAGATTCCTAAAGATTTCCTTAAGATTTCGGGAATTTTGGTTTGCAGGGTATATCCTATTTAGTTATAGAACATACAAAAAAGGGCATGTTGAAGCAGCTAAAACTTAATGGGCTATAAAACTGCGTACCAAAATTTTTTTTTTTAAGTTTGAAATTTTGTTAAAAATGTTTTGAATTCTTATACACCAGCACGGGCATGATGAGTGAGTTATGCGAGTGATTTTTGTACGACGAGAAAGGACTTTACTTCGCAATTGCCTACTCAGCCCAAAGTAGCACTTGTTGGCAAGAATGGAGTGATTTTCCGTTGGATTTCAAGGCTGGCATTATTATTGGTGTTAATGCTGGTTTCCAAATAAACGAAGTCGGCTCTTTTTTCAAACTTGTAAATAACTGTCTAGAGTGACGTGGGTGACAATACGCTTATGCTCCGACGGTTTGTGTGACGTTTTGTCCTCTTCACCACCAAATCGCTTTGTTTATCTATATAATCCCGAGAAGGTAGAACATACATTGCCCTTGTTTTTACTGATGTTGTCGATGTCATCGGCATACCCCAGCAATTGTACGTTTTTGTAAAGAATTGTGCTCGAAAGATTCAGTCGTTTGGCTGTTAATATCTTCTCGAAGCATCATATTAAAGAAATCACATGTCTGGAACTCCGTTTGGTAGAAAACGGCTCGGAGAGGTCTTTTCCAATTCTGACGGAGCTGGTGGTATTAGATAGAATGTTAGAGGCTGTGCACTGCGACCTTAGGTCTATTGTGCCCTGGTGGTATTGCTCAACGTCATTTTAGGCAGACGTATTAGTTTCTCGGGGAAACTAAATCGAGACATCTTCTTTTCGTTAAAGTGGCATTCAAGTCAACAAATAGATGGTATCCTGTATTTGATTGGCCCAAAGCCACTCAGTTCGTTGACGGTGGTGTTCAGTCTTTCAGACAATACACTCGGTAAGATCTTGTAAGCTATGCTTGGAAGGCTGATCCCGCGGTAGTTGGTGGATGACACGGAACACACTTAAATTCCAGTCGCCGGGCTATGCGTTCATCTGACCATATTCTGCATTAGGGTTGATGCATGCAACTCCTCGCCACTTTGATTGAATAGCTCGGCTGGTATTAAGGATGTGCAACAAATGCCATATATGTAAATCTAAATTTTGGGACTCGCTGGATAAAGATCCAATTTTTGCATAAATCAATCCGTAGGATTTGTCTTCAATTATTGCAAATATTTTTTTCTTTATGATTATACGTATTATCTAACCAGAAAACTACTGTTAGTTATATCTGTTTTTGTTTTAATTCCCGTTTACTATGTTCCATCCACAAGTTATAATTTCGGATCTGATTTTTGAGTTTTGCCTCTTTTGAAGACAGTGTGGGCTATAAATAAACAAAAGAAAAATGGCCAATACTGGTCAAAATGCCACTTAACTTAATAAGTTGACCAAAAGTATATATATGGACTCATTTGAATGTATGTATGTACATACATTAAGTGGTCCTAAACAAGTAAAGTCGGAATTTTAATGCTCTCACCCGCTAGGTTTGTTCTATATCGAAAAAATATACCCCTAATTTTTTATTTTGAAATCAAAAAATATTTAGAGGTCGCTCAAAGCGCCGAAAGTTTTCCATATATTTTATATGGGGAAAAAACAACTTCCTAGAAATGGTTTCGAATTCTTGAAAATCAATATTTTTCGTGCGGAAAACTGCTTGTCTTCAGGACACTTCCAATAACAATACCCACTTGTTTATTTGACCAATTTTTAATACTAAATAATTTTTTATTCATCCCCCCATTGTATTTTCTGACATTTTCTGGAGGCTTTGGCGGACCTATAAAATATAGACACTAGAAAAAATTTGTTAAATAAATAATTGCGTATTATTATTGGGAATATCCTGAAGAGAAACAAAGTTTTCCGATCGAATTATATTGCTTTTCAAGAATTCCATTCCATTTCTACAGAAAGTGTTTTTCCCCCCATATAAAATACATGGGAAACTATTAGAGCTTTGAGCGACTTCTAAATATTTTTTGATTGCAAAACAAAAAATAGGGGTATTTTCGTTCGGTATATTCTAGCATAAAAATTCCGACTTATTCTTATTCGCGTGCATTTTTGGACCACCCTAATGTGCACACATACATATGTGACTGTTCATTATTTACTTATATTTTAGTACTAGTTATTGCCGGCATGTCTTCGTTATGTTTACATAAAATCTTTCTAACTCATGTACATATACATATGTACATACATACATACATATATGTATGTCTGTATGTACGTATAAATATATATTATTTGTTACCAAGAATGATGAATACAAGATTGCGCCGATCAGAGAGGATTTTTGAGAATAACTTTTGTGTGACGTCACACTGGTGCAATTGCGAGAGAGAAATGCCAAAACGTGAGCAAGAATGGAAGAAGAAGAAAAAATGTTGCAAGGAAAACGTAAACAAGTTGCACAAGTGTGACGTCATGCAAACAACGATTCTGTCAAATTCGTTAAGAGAGAAATGGCGGTCCGAGATCAGGCGCAACGTTTGTATTCTCTCAATCGTGATTTGTTACTATATTCGTTTTCACTGTTTACCTTATTTCAAATAATTTAGTGCTTTTTAAATATAAACAGTTTAACTGGCACATATCTGCGTATGTATGTATATATTGGTTAATGGTTGGCTTGGCTTGACATTCCAGGTGTTGCTGTATGGGACAAATCCACACTTTATCGCACATTGTTGTATTCAAGTTCTTTATTATTAAATGTTATCAATAAATGAAGCATGAAAATTTTAGACTATTTGATTATAAGTATGTATTTAAAATAATTTTTGTTTTCCGTTACCTCCATTTCCCCATCTTTTTTCATATTAGAGTATTTCTTACATTCCACTATCCAGTTCCCTCCCTCCGTCTCCATATCTCTACTAAACCATTTTGTAAATGCTTTATACATATGTCCTATGTACATACATACATGCATATTTCAGCAAATTATTAAATACTAATACATATGTTCTAGTAGATCTTGCTGCATCCTCTTACTTTACTCCTTAGCTGCTTTATACCTTTAGTCACACGCAGTGCCTCACTCGATAGTCCGTTCGTTTGCCGTAACGTTTAACAGCCCCCTCACCACCTTCCTTATCATTCTTCGTCAGTATTTCACTGGCGTTTTTCGTTTTCGTTTTCGTTTTATATACGCCTTTAACCCTCTTTGTCTCCGACCATTGCAGGCTACAGCACCGCTGCTAAAGACTCCGCTGTCTCAAGCACAGCAGGCGTACGCAACGGCTGCCACCACATATACGGCTGTGGCGGCTAGGGCTGCTTATGGCGCTGCTGCCGCCGCTGCACAGCCAGCACTGGCCGGTTACGCCACCGTCGCGGGGTAAGTTTCGCTTGAAAGTGTGCAGACTCTAATTATTACGCGCAAATTCGCAACATAGCCACTAATCCTCCACTAATACCATCTTCCCTAACTTACGATTTATTCCCTCCAACATTGTATATGCATGTAATTCATATCGTGCATATCGAGACCTTACCGTAGTTTAGATGTAACCAACAATAATGCAATTTTATAGAAAAAAAAAACTTTACAAAATTTAGCTACTGCCTTTCCGGATTTTTAATCTATCAATACAGTTTTTCTATGGCTTTGGCTTCAGAGAAAAAGCTTCCAGTGTTAGTAAAAAAGTGTGAATGTATCGAAACTTGAAGGCAAGTTCTTGGTCGGGTTACGTCGAATTTATTAAAGCACATAACGCTCACATCGCATCCAAAAGGAAAAATCTTTTTAGCAAGGCCCTGTCTGAAAGCGTTTATTTAGAAGCGCTGCTTAATTTACCAACTGGTTTCCTATTTCTGCCACATTCAATTTTATTTTGTTTTATTTGCCATCGTGTTTTTACATATATTTAGTATAAGACCAAAAAATCTGCACAACGTACTCCCTCTTCCAAAGAGCCACAGCTAAAAATCAGATCCGGAAATATAACAGCTTGAACATATTCAACGCAAGTAATACAAAAATAGGTATAACAGTTCATTTATGAAAAACATCTACATACCTATTTTTTTTAGTTGTTTTGAAAAATGTGAGCGGTATGTATGTTTTTGGTATCAATTATACGATAAAATACGCTTAGCTCGGCTAAAATACAAATAAAAATTGTTTTCGAGATAGGTACTTGGGCATATTTTGTATAGCACTCTTTTCTAGACTTGAATGTGAATCGAAAGCCTCAAGCGCATTATTTATTTCGAACGGGTTACCACCGTGAGCCTAATTATCGTTGCCAATTTACTTAAAATTAAAATCGTCGATTCCCAAAACTAAGCTGTTTTTGTTTAATCTATTCGAAATGTTGTTAAAAAAGACATTTGCAGAAATTTGTCTGTAGAACTTGGATGATTGGCGAAATTTCATAACGAGACAGCAACATTATGAGACCTTTAAGAAAAGGAGATATCTCGCTTGCGATCCCGCTAATTTGGACAACAGGCCGTAACTAGGAATAACGGAGTTTTATAATGGTTTTCTCTGAAGGAAGCCGTGAAGAATTAGGGTTGTCATTAGAACCAAAGCTTTAGACCTTAATATCAATTTAGTTAGTGAATTTTTATTATTATTTTTTCCTCTAATTTTACCCACTGATTTAATTTTTTTCTTTTTGTAGCAAGGTAAAGAGAAGAAAAATCGAAGATCTAATTAGTTTCGAATTGACCTTAATTAACGCGTGCAAAACTCTAACAAAACTTAACAATTTTTGCTAACAACTACAAAGAACCGCTGATGAGACTTCAAGCCCCTCCCGCTCATATAATCCTCAATCAACTAACCATTAATAATAATTAACACTGAACTAATAAATATCTCATGTAAATAACCTTTTGTGCATTCTGTTTTACAAAATTTCTGCTGCTGCTCTGAATTCCTGAAAACGCAGATACGCCGCAAGAGAGTATGCAGATCCCTATTTAGGACATGGCATAGGACCGGTACCCGGCTATGGGGTGAGTTTTTTGACATGTAAAAAACCTAAATATAGAGCAATTAATTAATTAATATTATTTTTGTTGAAAACAACAGGCAACCATGTATCGAGGTGGATTCAATCGTTTCACGCCATATTAATTTAAGAAGATACCTGGACGACTAGGTATGGAGA